CCGGCCTGGCGGTTCGAGGCTTCGGGTATGTGAGGCAGTGGACCATGGCGGAGCGCGGAGAATCGACAAGGCGTGGATGCTGGCGCCTCACGAGTGCTAATGTGCTGGTGGAGAGGACGATCGTTGTAATGGGTGCGGAGGCTTGCTTGGCGATGTGTGGAGAGATAATGTAAAACATGCTTCTTAGCCATGTTTTAGTACGGTTACTGCCTCGACCCTGACTGTCTAAAATTATCATTCAAAATTCTGATTGGAGCGATTTTGTAAAACATGCTAGTTAGCCATGTTTTACACAGAACCATCGCAAAAGGGTTAACGCTTGCCCGTGGATCCTTGTTGTCGCTGAAGTGAAGGTGCTGGCTTATCTGGTCAAATCTAAATCAAGAGCATAGCAAGCACTGTAGACATGTTACAACAGTTTACATCAACACGTATGTTCTCGGTTCCGTGCTGTAATGGGCCTACTTTGGCTCATTACTTTAGCTTACACGTGCGCGCAACTGTAGGAGGAAGCGTAACTTGGTTTAATATAGAGTTTATTATACTCGGGCCTCCGAGTATATATTAATCTAAATAAACGATTCAAATATAGCGCAACTCACCTTCCAGCCGCTGAGCATGCTCCGGTCGAAGATTCGTCAGCGGCTCCATCGTGTCACTCCAGCTCACGAAAAGACGTTTACGACTTGTTGGGTCGATGGTGTAGTCCAGAATCTGGTCAATCTCGTGGTGTGGACCATTGTGTGGCATTGGCTGATCCCATTCTACGAGGTGAAGATAAAGTGCGGCCAAGCGAAACAGTGCAGCTGTTAGGGGTTACCAGATGGGCTCCCACCGAACACGTGCCTGGAGAGCACCCTCGCGGCTGTACTGGACCCCAACAATGCTGGTAGAGTTATGTTGGCTCCAAGGATTGTTCGGGGTACCTGTGGGCGTCTCTTGTCGTCAAGTCAAAGTGTCTCTTTTCTGTACTGTGCCGTTGTCTTCATCTGCGGTCAAGTCAATGATGCTCCTTTCTGTAGCTATGCGAAACCACACTTGTCGGCCATGGTTGGCTGCCCCAACTTGCTGGGCTGCCGGTTGTTCATGAACAAGGCGCTGCTGATGACGCTCTTGATATCGAATAGTATTATCCTGTACATGTAACCCGCTTTCACGCCGTCGTGCAGTTTCTAGTTCCCGTTGTAGCTGCTGCCACTCCTCCAGCAGCTGCTCAACCGTACGAATCTTTTCAGGCCCGAAATGCTGGTCTCGAGGGGCATCCTCCCGTAGCAGCTCATGTATAATAAGAAGCTGTGCCAGCTCTCTTATCTTCAAATGCTGCCCCCGAGAGGTGGGTTGATCGTCCTGCTGCTGCTGGGGTTCGTCTCATTCCCGAACCGGTACGTTTGTAACCACAACTCCTTTTGCCGGCAAAATGGCACCCCATACGGACTACGCAGAAGCTGTGCGCTTACTGGTGGACTCATTCTTCATCCAGGAGAGCAATGCGTTGGAGCGCCAACTACAACTTTTACGGTGCATCCGCCCAGTTCAATACAACCAGTGTACAGTTGTATACCGTCCGACCCTTGTATACAATGTGTATAATTTTGTGTTGACGACACCAACTTTCCAGTTCAACCAGTCCTTTTAATTTTTTATTTCTTGCGATTAACACCGAAACACTCAGGGCGAGAACTACATCGACCCCACTAACCAGGTTCACTGGGTAACCGGCGGCTACGGCTCAGTTCAAACAGTCATACCCTTCCGTTTATATTTAGATCACCTACCCACCATGTCAACCGTTGTCATATTCTGTAACCTTCGGTAATTCTCTCGAACCGGAGCGCTCATATCCCACTGCAGTCACCTATGTGCAAACTTACCCGGATGCCGTCAAGGCACGATTTCTCCACGCTAACAGGGTTGGCCTCAGCTGGAAGGACGCTGCTCTATCCAACGGGGTCAAGGAGAGGACGGCACGTGGCTGGGTTCAGCGTGCCCGAGCGACGGGAAACTACGACGTCCATGATTCGCGGCGTGGTGGAGCTCGCGACCGCTAGATGATGCAAGAGTTCGTCGATTTCCTCGTGGAGAAGCTTAGCGACAACTGCCACCTAACGCTGCATCAAATGAAAGACCTACAGACAACGACTTACAAAGCCGACACACTGAATAGTATCCTCCTATATTAAGCTTCCATCGACATTAAAACCCGGCAGGGTTTTAATTGGACGAAAAAAAATCATTTGTACAAAACCCAGAAATTATCCATGTGTTTTGTAAAGATAAGATGCTATTATCAGATCAATACCTCAGGATACCTAGGAATTGCTTTCTCGAAGCTACGAATTACGGTGGTTTCCGCTAATTCTTCCCTGGCCGCAATTGTAGACTCAATAGAGGACTTTCGGAAGCTCGTAGAGTTGCGTTTCAGTTGAGATAGACACGGTTATTGCAATCTCAACTCTATAAAATTTGTCTCGTTTCGGGACTATTTTGCGTTCAGTTTCACTTTCGGCGACCGCTGCAGCCAAAAATCTGAAGAGCGCCACGATGCCCAAGACGAAGAAGCAGCCCGGTACCAACAGCGACTCTGAAGGCGCGGAGACGATACCGGCGCTCCAGCTGCCACAGACAGCTACGCTTCTGGACCAAGAGGATCATCACCTTCCACTCGTTGACCCCGATCGCCCCGCAGTGCGTCAGAAGTTTCCCGCGGTTGACGATATCGTTTTAAAGGCTGTCAACCTCTACCGCCACTGGACCGCACCCGCTGGTACATCCAACGGAATAATGAACGTGTTCAACCAAATTGCTGCTCATTGTCTACTTGATCCTGCGTTCGGTCTGAAGAAACAAGGCCCAGCCATGCGCACGCGATTTACTACGCTGATGAGCCAGTTCAAAGCCGACCAATACCAGTCCATGCGGAAGTCCGGGACCGTTGAGGAATATGAAGAGCGTGAAGTACTGCTGCAAAATATCCTCAACCAAATCCAGGACTGGAATGAAAAAGAAGCTGAGAAAAAAGAGCGAAAGTCCGCTAAACAGCGAGGGATAGAGAGTTCAGGTGCGCTGCTACGCCGGCTCGCGATCGGAGAGCTCGCAAAGGACGACGACGACGAGGACCTTGACGATTCGTCCTCACCACGCGAGGCCGTTCATGACAGGGGTGGAGGTGCTGATCAAGTGGCGTCGATGGCAGTTCCTGCTGAATCTGCCGCTGGTGTCGAGCTGCCACCTTCGGTTACCCCGCAAAAGCGCAGAGATACTCAAAGTAAGAGCCGATCAAGTGGTCGCAAAAAAATCACCAAGCGAGAGCAACTTGGGGTTGTGACGAATGCTTTGGCAGGTGCTCGTTTAGGGGCTGGAGAAGAGGAGAAGGCAGAGTACGAGTACAAGACAAAGCGACTCGAACTTGAGCGCGAACAACAGCAGCAAAAGCTGCAACATGGACAAGATGACGCTGCAAAGCGTCGTGATCACGAGCTGGCACTTGAAGAACGTCGGATGAAAGCAGACGAAGAAAGAGAGAAACGAATGCACGAATTTCTATTGAAAATCCTGAGTGAGCAGAAAGACTGATACTTAGATCTGTCGCTCGCCTTGGATGAGCTGAAGGTAGTAGTCGATAGGAGGAGGTCGTAAGCCGAAATACATTGAGATTTGATTGCCGAGAGGTTGCGAGCACGTATGACAATTCAAAAGTAAGACACCCACTACAAAGTTTCTGCCCACGGCAGCTTGGCGCACACGTTGCTTTTTATCCCAGTTGAGAAACTCCCACAAGATTTTAAGTCTCCCGAACCCCCACTCAACCCCGTCGCGCACACTACTCATGTTGCTGTTGCAGCGTGAACTCGATCCACCGGTAATCGTAGTTGGCGAGCACATGTAGGCACCGCATCCATACGCAGGATCCCCGTATATGAGCTTACCCTCAAATGCATCATCTGGGTCCTCCGCCATGACATCCAAAATTCCACTGAGGCTTAATAGAGTGGAATCATGCTTCCGACCTTCAACGAGGCCGTAAAGACTTACTATAATCCCGTCAGGAGCTTGAACACTCTGCCAGTTGAAACAGTGCCGCCTAGGATGTCCATTATATACGGACCTTTGGAGATTTTCATTTGCAATGGTTTGTTCTTCGCGAGCACTTGGGCGGGAAATGCATTGCTTGGTGCCATCAATAAACCCCCAGCAAGTACGAAGCGGGGCTCCTGCAGCATGCGTGGCATCGCAGTATTTGTCGATGCGCTCTTTGATAAGGGCATCGTGGAAGTACAATATATCTCTGTGATTGTCATACCAAATCTGCACTGTTGCCGCAAAAACCCTGCTGTAGGCTGCTGTAGATCTGCCAAACTCACTAGCAACAGTAAATAGTTTGGACGCTTCCGACAATCTCCTGCACACCATGGCAAGTGCTTCTACTGGAGGAACGTTGTCGCCTTCAGTCGTTCTTACGCCATCCACAGGGAGTTGCAGCTTGGACGAAAGTTGACGTAGCCCATTCACTGTGAAACGGTATCGAAGCCTTGCTACAGCATCATCGAGCATCTCGTCGAAGACACGAGAGGTATCGACGGACGGGCAGCGTCGCGAAGCCTGAAGCAGTGCATGCGCGAGAGAGTCTGCATAATGCGTGCGAAGCGTGTCTTGTTGCCGCGGGCGAGGAGCCATGCCTGGCTTAGAACTACCACTGCTTGATCTGCGGTTAGCTTGGGTCCGATGAACATGCTATTCGTGTACGCTGTGGTTCTGAAAGTGAAATGGCTGTTGGGCTAAGTCGGCCATTTGCTCAAACCTATCCACTGTTGAGATGAGTTTCGCCCCCTAATCCTCTCAGAACTGAAAGTGAATCCGAAACGCGTGCGATTTGGGGGCTCCGAAAGTCCTCTAATTGCACGGAGGCGCTTTTGTTTTGCAGTGCCTCCTGTAACACCCTGAAACTTGGATCTAATTTTTGCTTTTAGTGGGCCAATCACGCCAACGTCGAGGGATGAAACGACTATCAATTTGCTATGCCGCCGACACGTTTTTGGGCTGTCAAAGGCCGCAAGGACCCCGCCCGAATTACCAAGATGACGAAGCACACTGGTCGAATGACAACAGTCTTTACTGTTCGCGGTGATGGTAGTTTTTTTATTTTTTAAATTCTGAAACGGGTATTTTTTGCTAACACATTTTGTATTATATGTTTTAGGGCATAAGCTGCCAATTCGCTTCATCATCCGAGGCAAGCTCGGCGGTGATATCGACAGCGACGAGCTGCCACACTATCCACCCGGTCACTACTACACTGTCCAGGAACATGCCTGGATGGACGCGGTTGGATGGAGATTTTTATGTGAGTAATGTGTTAAAACATGAAGTCGATGGACCCGCTGTCCTCCTCCTTGATAATTTTGACTCACATGTTTCGGAGGAGGGGCAGCGGGTCGTTTTCGAAGAAACAAATGCTGTAGTGGTGCCTTTCCCGCCTAATACGACGGCGGTTTGTAAACCGACGTTAAATAGTGTCGTAGGGCACCATGCCGAGTACTTGATCCAAAGTTCAATGGAAAACTCAGCACGTTACTCAAGCAGCTCTCCCGTCGGAAGTTTGGCTTCTTGAGGCTTTTGAGAAGTCGTAACTAAATAAAAACAAACATCAATTGAAAGAATAATTAATCGATTAAAATTTAACTCCAAACCATGAAAACCAATTTACCGTGTGCAAATGCGCTGACACATTTTTCTAGCGAGTGCTCAGGGCTTTTGTGGCTGTCCATGTAGCTTGCACACCACTCAGGCTCTAGTAGCCACATGTAGTTGATTATTACATGCGTCGATAGGGCCTAAATAACACACGCCGCAACAGTCAGTATTAACTCGTAAAAGCAAGTACTAGAATGATATATCAACATTTTCCTCTCTGCGCGTGCTCTTCATAAATGTAACAAGGGCTGGGACGATAGGAAATATTTCCTTGCGCCCCTGCCCCTTCAGAGCTGGCGAACGCGTAGTGTAGATGAACAAGCCAAGCAAAAGGCATGGGTATTCATGTGATTATTAGCATTTCGAGCGATGGGCTTATTTTTATGGATGAAGGGTTGAGTTGTACAAGGCGCCGCAGGCCAATCACTTCATACACCGCTTGCTACGCTACTTGCAAATCGAATACCCATTGGAAAGTGTTTCGTTACCGTTTTTGACAATGCTCTTTATCACAACAGTGTCGAGGGCGCGTTTGAGGAGAATATTGCAGGCGCACGATGCCTACGATTGCGACCGTACTCACCGAGTCCTAGCGGCACCGAAAACCCTTTTTCGGCGTTCAAGGCTGACTGCCATTCTTTTTGTACCACCGGACTCAACAGTTACGGCGCATCGCGAGGGCTTTCTGTACAGGACTGGGTCTGACTGTTTTGAACCGAAAAATTGGTGTCGTCAACACAAAATTATACATGGTATACGAAGTTCAGACGGTATACAATTGTATACTGGCTGTGTTGAACTGGGCGATGCCAAGTACGGACTGTAGAAAGGTGTACAACACGCAATCTGCTTCGGGGTTTTATCTGAACCCGAAAACTTAGCTGCAAACAATGATGTCATTTCCACAGCAATTCGTCGATACGAACAGAATATGACGACGGTCGCACCCTGTGACGAGCGCCTCCTTTCTCCCTTTGGTCGCGCATTCCGATGGCACGAAACGGTTGAAAAATAATTCAGTGGTGATTTAGCAGACATTTTTGACTCGACAAAATTTGACCCTGCCAGCTCTCTCAAAATGTTTTTTCCCGTCGTATGCAGATACTGGAAACTTGGCCAGTCTCTAATTGGGACCCGCTTCTACTTGTTTGAGCGGATTCTCTCTTCAACAGGAGATGACATGGCCAAGCGTTTCCTCATCAACCGCATACAAGAAGTGGGGAACGCTACTCGTCAAAATATGTGCGCCTGGTGAGGTTACGAGTAGAGTTGCTGCATTAAAGTATTAAGCACGAATGTCTGCACTCGTTTCGCTCCACCAACTTCTCTAAATATTGCGTCAAAAAAGAGAGCGAACGAGTTTCAATTCTTTCTGAAGGAGGGCGAGCAGACACCTTTCGGGGCCTTAGAAGAGGTGATGAGACTGGGATCAAGCATCCTGATGGCACCAGAGCGCCGTAGTCTGCCCAAGTTTGCTTGGTCAACGTCGAACCCCCAATTTGATGTCGTTGGAATGGATGGAGTAGCCAGTAGCATCAATGATATCGCTATGACTGGCAAAACGCTGATACAAGAGGCGGCTGCACTGCAGGTGCAGCAGCAAAAGCTTCGAAGCTCTATGTATGCGCTTGCGCCGGTGGACTTTCGTCTGGAAGGTCACAATTCGCATCGTGACCTGCCCCCCCCCCCCGAAGAGACCTGGCGAGGAGGTTGAGGGTTGGTTAGACAATGGAAGTCGCTAGCCCGTTCACAAGGAATATAGTGGTAAGAGGATATAAGTAGTGGTCGCGAGTATATATCGTGGCTCAACCAAATCGCAGACAAGAACGTCAAAGTCGCAACTCAGCCCAATCGCAGACACGATGCCCCTTCATCCCACACGCACTAGTACAAGAAACCCACCAACGCAATTTCTACATACACATTTAGTTCTCTTTAGCTCGTAGCCATCTCAATGTAGCTCTGCCTACGCTATACGGAGAGAAAATCGGCGAATTTCGTCGACGGAGCTGAGATTTTCAAAGGGTATATTTTTGACCATGTCGAACTCAGGTTTAGTATCCAAACATATGTTGTAGATGATATTACCACTCAATTAGGGCCAAAATTAGTATATCTTCGTGCCCCACGCGAAGCATATTTGCATTATCGGTGGCTAACTCAACATCCAGGTGGAGTTACAAAAAAACTGAAAATACCATCGAAATGCGGAGAAGAAGACGAATCCAGCAAAAAAGAACGGTAAAAAAGCATAAGCACAGAATTCAATATATAAAACAGGTGGTAATTGCTTTCTGATAAAGTCCATTTTTCAGTGTGACATGAAAAGGGGTAATGGACGGTTGGCATCTAATTCATTTGCATTGATTATAGCTGAGTTCGATATAGACGGGGTGGTCGTCTCTCACTTTTTATCAGTTTCTGCAACATGATTTGCCACATCGGTAAGGATGAAAATTTAGTATCGCATTTTGTATGGTCAAACCAGCCCTATTCAGCGGGACACGAAGAGATAGTGTAGAGAGACGACTTGGCCTTCGCCTTGCGGGCCGCCTTGCGCTTTGCAGCGCCTGCCTTCCGAGCAGCCCGGACAACCTCGCCCAGGCTCGCGTGCTCCTCCGGCGGCAGCCCCTGAGACCTACGCGACTGGCGCGATGCATCACCACGTCCCTCGCCATCGCGGCCTTCCTCGCGCATGTCTTCTGTACAACACTGCCATGTTTTCTGTACAGCACTGCCATTTCATATTAAGCTACTCCTAGGGCGGTTGAGGTAGTCACCACCTAGTGCTTTGTTGATAGGCTACCGAGTGATAGGAAGGACTGTGTTTTGTATTGATTCGGCTTTTTCCCTCGTGATTGAGGGTGGTGCGCGATTGATTGAGGGTCTTGGACTTGCCAGTGTCCTGGATCTACCCTCTTTGTTGACTGGTGTGTAGGCCCCACCGTCCAAGGGCCAACCAAAGAATAAGTGACGGTTCTGTGTATTTTATATTTGTGTATAACTCTGTATTGTTAAGGTTATCTCTCCGGATTCAGGCTGAGGAAGCTGCGTTCTGAAGTGTGCGTTGGCTCCACTTCCTGGTCCTAGCGATATTATCCTGTTTCCCGCAACTCATGCAGTGCAAGTCTCACGTTCTAAGACAAACGACACCCAAAGGGATTCCACGAGGAACACACGCCACCCGGGACGACACCAAGCACTCGTCCAGGGTTGTTTCGAGGGGACAAGTCTAGATCCTTTTCGGGCCACTGTACACCTGGGCGGCAAAAGGCGTTCACCCGCCTCGCCTCAGCTGGTGCGCGTGCCCGGATTCGAATCGTTTGGGACTTCACTGAGTTGTGGATACATTTATTGTTAGGATTGAGATTGCGAAGTCCACTAACTCTCTGACCGAAGTGTTTATGGCGAGAGAAAGCGGAGGACAAACACCCCAACTAGAATATGAAATAAAGCTTATCAACCCTGGCCGTGCGACAACTCAGGTACTCGCCTTAACTTGATCTGATACTTACTATGAGAGCTCCACACACGACCCTTACGCTGATAGCCGAGGTGCCCTGAATGCAGGGGAAGAACCGAAGTCACAAGGCTCCTTTGAGTCTGAACCAGCTCTCAATAGCTTGGCCCCCAACCGAAGACACTTGCGCTGTCCTCGGGAAAACGAACTCTGTTTGGTCTTATCTTTGTAGGCTATCACTAATCGTAACATGCAGTCTTGGAAGTTTTATCTTGGTTTCAGTATGGTTTGTCGTCGGTTGAGTCGCAAAGATCCAGCGGGGATCGGCAGCACAGCTGGGAGGGAGTTCAAGGTTCCATGTCCAGAGAAGATCTTGGACGGTCGGCTTGGTCGGTCGTTAATGTCTTGGGTTTGTATGGTCAGATCTTGGAGTTTGGAGAGTCGTCCATTCGGGATACACGTTGTCGATTCAGGATACATGGACTTCGGTCAGGCAGCTTAGGCATCGACGAGCTTGGTCGGGCACCTCTTCGGCTCTTGCAGCATGACTGGCTCGATCTTGTGTGTGTGTGTGTGGGGGGGGGGGGGGCTCCCAGGCTGGCAGACTTCAGGGTTATCGATCTTGGTCCAGCCTGGATGCACCTTGATCATCCTGATTCAGGGCGCTGAGTGCATATCCAGGCTGCTCCCACCACTTGGATCCTGGATCCAGCTAGAACCAGGCACCCCCGGGACACCCGGATGCACGTGCATCCGCCCTGTAATATATATAATTCACACACCACACTTAATTCCACATCTACTAATTTCGTTCAACTACCAACTCCTTTCTCTTCATCATACAACCCACTTTTATCTACCACCCTTACTATCATTTCTTAACCTCGTTATTCACATTTCACCTCATATCCACCATTTATCCAAATCTATTCACATTTCACCTCATTTCCACTATTCAACAACAACTATCCTTTTTTCTATACAGTCAAACCTGTTTATATGAGGCCTGTTGGTGACCATCTACTACAATCACTCATATAAAATGGACTCAGTAAAAAATATTATGTGGTGCACGTAAAGAAATCGTGCATAGTTTGCTGCCGCTTTGCCTTCACCGTAGTCTCTCGAACCAAAGCGGTCACGGTCTGTAAAGCTCTTCGTTCTCTGTCAGTCTGCTCTCCGCATTGCAGCAGAAATACAGCCAGCTCCATGCAGTGTCTCAGAGCAATGGCAGGTTGAACTGCGGGTTCCTGTTCCTCCTAATCTTCCTGCTCGTCCTGCGAAACTGCATCACTTCCTGCCGCTTCGTCCACTAGCACATCTGGCTCGTGCACAGGAACGTCTTCGTCCACTGCCAGATACTCACTAGCGCTAACAGCGCCCTCCCACCTCGATAGCATCGCCTTTAACTCCTCCATCTCGTTGCTGGATACCTCCTCAATGTAATCCGTGTCACCACGGGTCCTTCCTAGCATCTTTCCTCCCAAAATGCGAGTCTTGACCCAGCAATTTGTAATTGTCGTTGGCGTCACACCCGCCCAAGCATCAATGGAGAATTGAACAGCTTCCAGTACGTTGATCTTGCGTGTAATTTTAGCTTCAAGTGCATCCAAACACCACCGCACAAAATACTTTCGGTACCGAGCCTTGAACGACCGGATAATACCTGAATAAAAAATCACCGTAATAGAGTTGGTTAGTTTAGGCTACACCACAATATAGATAAAATATTTACCTGCATCCAGCGGCTGTACGGCGGATGTCATGTTAGGAGGGAGGAAGTGAACAGTCACATGAGTCAGGTTTCGTAGAATCTTGTGGCATGAAGCATTGTCGACTAGAAGTAGGACCTTGCGATTGGCGGCCGCCATTCTCATGTTGAAGAGGTGCAGCCATTCGTCAAAAATGACGGATGTCATCCAGGCGTTCTTGGAGGACTTGTACAATATAGGTTTACCTTTAATCGCCGCTCCCTTTTTAAAGCACCTCGGGTTCTTGGCCGTACCGATGACTATTGGGTCGAGCTTGTCGGAGCCAGTCGCGTTGCAGCAGAAGGCTAAAGTCAAACGTTGCTTCTCCTTTTTCTTGCCCTTGCGAATAGTCGTAGCTAGCGTTCGATTAGGCGCTAAGCGATAGAAAAGCGCCGTTTCGTCGAAGTTGAACACATTCTCGGGTGTAAACTGCGCCACCAACTCTTGTAGTTCTAGCCTCGCATCTCGCACTTCATCAGCTTCTACAGCGCCACCTTCGCCGTGTAGCGTATGGGAGCGGATCCCATTGCGCTTCTTAAAGCTTTGAAGCCAGCCGTTGCTTAGCCGGAGTTGCGTGGCATCGATGCCTAAGCGCTCCGCCAGCTCATGCGCCTTCAGCAGGAGCACGTCGTCCGCCATCGCAGTTTTAGCTTCGTTCTGAAAGAAAAATCCCCTCAGTTCCCGCTCGAACTGAGGGAATTTCACTCGGCGCCGCTTGGTCGCACTCAGGTCGACGTGGCTGAAGTAGGAAGAAGGCAGGTTGCGCAGTCGGGCGAGTGTGGCACGGCTGACCCGGGCCTTGAAAGTTGCGTAGATCCACTCGGCGAGCATGGGGTTGTTCATGCCAGGATTCTGCTTGAGCTTTAGGTGCACTTGGAGCTTTTGTTCTAGCGTCAGACAGGTGCGAGGAGACATGGCGAGCGAAGAAGGCTTGCGGTAGGCTTTGAGTGTTGAGCAGTGGTGCTTTGAAGAGTGTGTGGCCGTGAGCAGTGTGAATCAAATAAACAGGTGAGACCTAATTTGGTCCCCAAAAATGTGACTCATATACCTTGTATGCATATAAACAGAGATCATACAAAAACTAAGTGAAATATTTGGTAGCGACAAAGCCTGCATCAAATAAACGGCATGGCTCAAATAGAGAGGATCATATAAACAGGTTTGACTGTATTCATTTTCACCACCATATACATCCCCTACTAAATTATACACTTTCAACTAAACACATCTATTCTACTTCATACATGACACGATGCGGCTCCAGGTTTCAGCCCGAGCCCCATCCCACAGCGGTGGGTATTATGGGTATCCGGGGGTCCCGCTGCCATGTACCTTAATCCTTATGTGCTTACTGACAGCCAAATTCATGATTTGAAGTGGGTCTATCCATGTCCATAAAAGTTACCTGCATAGAGAATATATGTGAGGTGTGCAAAACTATATAAGAGACGTGAATGTATTATTAAAGTGAAATATCTACATCATCAGTGTCAGCTTCTGTGTCGGAGAAACTGAGCTCGTCGTCCGATGAAACATCACTAACAAAGCTGTCTATCAATCGCAGCTCATACTCAGTAATAGCGTCGACTTCAGGCTGCTGTAGGTTAGACTCGGGGGCTCCGCAGGCAGCAATCCGCGCTAAAATGTGCGCTTTTCGGAATCCGTTCTTGATTGTCGACGCTGAAAGTTTTGCCCAGCTCGAGCATACCCATTCGCACACGGTAGTTCGGGAAGGGGGCTTAAATTTGAATGCCTGAGTCGATCCAGTGTGTTCGCAGTTGCTGCTGCAGGGTATTTACCCATTCGCAGCGTAGATAGGACTAGAATGGCCAGTTCCCAATATCCGCCGGTTGGCAAGTCGATGTACACGGCGGTGGAACTCGGAGCAAATGCACGTCGATAGATGCAGCGTAAGTCTTGACAGCCGGGGTCCAGTGGCCCGAAAAGTCGTCGATGAGCAGGATGACCGGTTGCCATGGACGTTCGTAAAGCCCAATATCATTGTCTTTCATGATAGCTTGCGCTTCCGTCCACACATAAATACCAAAGCCGCGTCATTTCCCCAGTTTGCCTGGTCCCACCTTTCACAGTTGACCAGTTTGATTTGAGAACCATATACGGCGGGGATTTCCCCCCGTCGGAGTCCCCTAAGAGCATAGCAGTCACGGGTTCTTTATCTTTCCCTCCATGCCGCACCCACACGGGTTTTGAACCGCAAGGATTTATTGTACCCTTTGGTAGATATTAAAAAAATACTTCTGTAAAAATACAGCAGTAATTATTAGTATGAGCGCATTCAACTACTACTACAGTTTAAATAATAATGAAAGCAGCAATGTACCTGTTTGGTCGGCGTTAAAAACCTTTTGGACTCGAAGCTCTAGCATCTTCTGCTGAACTTCAATACCAAAGTTGACAGCGGCCTCGTTTGCTGCTTCTGGGGTGACTTGCCCCTGTCGTGTCCGCGCGCGAATACTAAGACGGTGTCGACGTAGAAACCCTTTCCGCCAGTGCCATGAGCCCTCAAATGCTTCAATACCTAAGTCCTCTGCGACCTCAGCCCCTTTCAGACGCAGCATCGTGGCACTGACAGGAACGCCATCTTTACGCAGTAAATTTATCCACTGCATAATAGCAGTCTCCGCCTCGCGAGGGAGTATGGTCGCAACCCCGGGCTCCCTCACATACTTCAGGGCAGCAACAGTCGGAAGTTGGCAACGCTCCTCATAGAGCGATACGTTGGACCGCCAGTCGTAAAGTAGTTTGCGGCGCTGCTCCTTGGCGTCACCGCTAAGCTTTGGATAGAAATGACGCAGCGTCTCCTTCACATCTTTGCAGCTGATAAGGTGCTGAGCAACTTCTAGCTTGTGCTGATTCGAGAAACTGGAGCGGGTATGCTTGACCTTCTTTCTACCGTCCCCGCTAATGAGAGATCTGCCTTGGTGTTGCGGCATCGCCGCGAGTCGTAGAATAAAGAAAACTAAAGGAGAACTGAACCTGTTAGTAAGCACATAAATTGCGATCGCACGATTTTTTGAGCTATGCTATTGGTTGAACGACTTGTCGGTAATGACTGAACGTCAGGAAGCACATAAGGATCACGGTATCCGGAACCTAAAAATCTGGACATATAGGTTTTCGTATACGATGAATTCAGTTGTACTACTCTCAAGTGTCAGAGACGGGTCAATTATACCAAAATAAGATTGGAGCCAATATTGGGAACGAAGACATGAAAATCTGGGCGTATATGCTTTTGTATACGGGGAATCCAATGGTACCACTGACATGTGCCAGAGTCGGGTTAGTTATCCATTATATGATAGCTGCTAGTTTCGGGCATACGAAGGTTACACTTTGGGAGTTGCCAGTTTATCCGTATATAATACAAGTGTAGTAGAATATGAGAAGTGGTGAACGTAATAGTTAGTGTAAGTATAAGTTGATGGTTAACAGTGGTAAAAAAACAAATTATCTACCTTTCAGTCGATAATAAACCAAATTTTGTACTATAATCCAAAATATCTACTCAAATGTAATTTAGTTTAGGTATGCTGAAGTATATGGTTAGAAGTATATTGTAGTTCATTATTTATAGTGGAGTGGGTGATTGCGGAATGAGCTTGAGTTTTCTTTCTCCCAACGTGAAGAATTGACGAATAGTCAATTTCCTGATTGACGTGCCGTGACTCGGCGCGTCTAACCTTGAGGGGGGATGGTGTACCAGGGTTACACGCACAAGTG